ATAGATTGGTCTTGTCCACAAAACTCCTCCTAAGGGTGATCACATAGTGACACAAAGTCTTTGCAAAGTCCCTCCACTGTTCCTGGCAAAGTAGCTCCTTGCATAGGCTCAGTAACAATTGTCCTCCTTCCTGCCAGGATATAATTAGATACATCTAATTTATAATCTTGTTTACGCCAGAAGTGTCACACCGGGGATGAGACCCCAAGGAGTCCCAGCCTTACAGGTAGTTACGTCACTTCCAGCAGGCCAGGCAAGGTTCGGGAATCCCAAGACGGGCAGCCCAAACAGCCATGCACCGTAGGAAAAACCTGGTGGGACGAGTTAAATGGTGTTTGGCTCATGGTCTCAGAGAACACGGGTGATGAAAGGCAGTTAGAAAAAGAGAAAAAGGGGGGCTGGCCAGTCAGAGCACGGTGGTTATAACACCAAGGTCAAAGATGCGGATCCCTGTACCAGCCAGACACCCAAAAAAAAAAAAAAGAGAGAGAGAAAGATTCTAGGATAATACTGTTTTTCTGGAGTCTTTTTAAAAACTCTCCAGATAGAAGGTAACTCTTTTTTTTTTGGCAGCGGGCTGGTATGGGGCAAACCCTTGACTTATGGTGTTGTAACACTGCACTCTAAGCAGCTGAGCTAACAGACCAGCCCTGAAAGTTAACTCTTTGGCTTTAGAAATCATCTCGTGTATCCAAGGGCAAATACAAACTAAAAATTAGAGGTTTAATTCTTCCTGTTGAAAACAAGGGAAGAGACCCTCCACCCCCATTCCCTAATCAAAATCTCTCTGCCCTTTCCAAAGGTGTGTGAATCTTTTAAGTGGCTAAATAAGTCTCTTACCAGTCTCACAACTTAGGAATGTTTCTTCAGGGACCTGAGAGCCATCTCTTTGAACTGTACTCATCAAGGAAGATGACTGCTGTTTCCTGGGAGGAGATGGGTCCCACTGCACCTGTCATGACTCCAAATGGCAAAACCCACTGAAGGCACTGGACAGGCTGCACCCACTTAGCTATAGAAAGAGGGAGTCTTGGGCCGGCCCGGTGGCGAACTGCTATAGTGCGCTGATTGGGAAGCGTGGTGGCGCTCCCGCCGAGGGTTCGGATCCCACATACAGACCGGCCGCTCACTGGCTGAGCGAGGGGAGGGAGCAACACCGAGGGTTGCGATCCCATGGCCGGTCCCGGTTCGGTACGGGCGTGACACTGAGGGTTGCGATCCGTTGCCGGTCACGAGAAAAAGACAAAAAGAAAGAGGGAGCCTTCCTTCCACCTCTGCTGTTCCTTTAGTGGGCTGCCTGTGATGCTCACAACCTTCTGGTTTAATGTTTATTCAATAATAAGATTGTTTTCTTTTCTACCTTTGTAGAGGGGTTTTATGGGTTGGAAGGTTTTGTTTTCAATTTTATTTACCCAATATGTGACTCGTTTTATGAGGCAAACTGCAAGGAGATGTCTGGACGTTAACCATTGCCTCTTGCCGCAGCTATGTAAATAAGAGGCCTCAGAGAATCCACCATGTGTAACATAGAAGCCCAGGTGAATAGACTATAAGAAATCATGACAATGAAGGGACTGTGCTGGGAAATTCTTCCTAATACAGGAAACGGGTGTAACACCCCGTTTGAGTAACACCAATGTGTATATAAATACTACTAGAAGTCAGGATTGTGCATGTAAGCAAGCC